GCTGCGGGAGTCCAGAGGTATTTCCTAATCTCATCTACTGACACAGCAGTTGGAGGGACATGGAAAAGGAAGAGGAAAGAGAGAAGGAACGGAGGAGAAAAAGGAACTAGGAAGAAAAAAAAAGCAAGGATTGGGAAGGCTACGCGACCGACAAAGATTCTGAGACTATGATTGATGGTGACCAATAAAATGCCCCTACCAAGCCGAACCACGCCAGTAATCATATGAGACCTCCTTTTCCACGCTAAAGTGATACTACAAAGCGTCCGTTCTCTTCTGAATTGCTGACATAATCGAAAATGCCTCGATGATTTTATGTGCAGAAGAGTGCTATCCTTGCCCCGACCCCAAAATTGACCCCTCTACGACTTCTCCTTGACCTCCAGGCGATTCTTTCCCTTTTGAGCAACAGCTGAATGTTTCCCCGATACTCTTATTCCCGCAGCTGCAACAGGTGAACCTGTACACCACCTCTGAGATGGTGCGGTCGCCCTCCGCACCAGTTGAGCCATTCTCACAGTTGGACGTTGCTCAAGAGCACAGCCGATAATATGATAACTGCTGTCAAGTGCCGTAGTGTGCGCTCCGGAATCACAACAATCCTCTGCTGGGGTCAATAGTCCTGCCCCGTAGGGTGGGAGCGGAACCCGCGCCTTCACGCTTACCGGGCGAGTGCACGCTATCCGTTACACCACCAGGGCCGCTCCCACTCAAGGCTATAAGGCGGTTACGGCACAAAAACCACTAAGCACAGAGGGCAAGTGTGGTCCTGGTGGCGTAGGAAGAGGGGCTCCGAGTCCCGCATGGGGTCGAGACCTTTATTCACGAATCAGCATTTTTGTAATAATGGTTGACTGTTTTCAAGACGGCGCTTCAGATCACTAACTATAAGTGGCATATTTACAGTAGTTACTGTGCTTTATACACGCAACCCCCCCCCAGACTAATGAAAATGGTGAGTTCTTCTGTGGCATGCTGAGAAGGCAATAGATTCCCTCTTAGTGAACAAGATCGTCTCTACTATAAATATAGACGTAGCTTGATGAGAGATTGAAAAAATAATTTCGCGCGCCAGCTTCGAGGAGTCCTTTCGCACTTTCACTTTAGAGCGGATACCGCAATATTTCTTTTGATGTGGAGAGGGTGTCCGGACTGGCATTGGACGGTCGTTGCTAGGTTTTTTGGGCTACTCCGTAGGAAGTTATGCCTCAGTGGACACTTGCGTTAGATGTCCAACAAAGGAGGTCAGCTTACGGAAGGTTCGTTCCGCGTCAAGATAATGCGCTTGCTTAGTAGTCTTATACTAGGTCGGTCTAATTGAATTTATAAGGTTATACTAGGTCGGTCTAATTGTTTATAAGGTTCCAACAAAAAAGCAGTAATCGTTGAAGAGTCCTATGGCAATACCATGGCAATACACACCTTAACCAGCAAGTGCAGAGCCAGTAGAGATGGGCTGTGAGAGCAGCTGCTCTGTAGGTCCACAATAATATTGGAAAAAGTCGATAAATTCTCAATAAGCAACTGATAAACAGACAGCAGCTCCATCATTTTATCTTTAGCTTTCAACAAACGGTACTGAGTTTTATAATTTCGTCATTTCTGCACTTCTGGCACCTCATAGGGATATACAGTCATGATCATCCCTGAGAACGGTAGAGCGCCCTATAGCAGGCATGGCTTGGAGCGCGCCAGATCAGACTCCCCAGGATGCATCATTCGTTGAGGAAGGGTGCTCTGGCTGCTCTCCATTACGCACCG